GATTTTACATTCTTAGCATTGCTATTTAGAATTTCCAACTAAATTCTGGGCCACCAAGGACCCTGCGTTTCTTTAGTCTGGGATGCTCCTGCCAGGGTGTTAGAGGACCTCACAGTCCTAGAGGGTGAGCCTGATGGCCAAAGGGCTGAAACAAAACATTGATCTAGGAGAGGCAAACCAAGACCGGGAAAGAGCAAATGACTGATGGAATCTCGTTTCTCCATTACTGACCAATGACAATATACCAATATGCAAACACTATCACTTTCAATCAGAGCATGGGAAGAGGTTTTCTCTCACTTGGCTCATTGGAGCTCAACCAGGTTGGATGCCTGGAATCTTCTCTAGAGCGGTGTCTGATTCCTGCGAAGGAGTCAGGTGGTTCACTTTCGTGGCAAGCCTTCTATCTTGTCCTCAGTGGAACTCTGAACCAGATGGCAGGGAACAGACTAAGTCTTGAAGGAAGTTAAAATTACACAATCAAATCATCCAAGTGCATCACAGAGCATTTATGAAAATTGGAATTTTAAACAAACATAATTTAATTAAGTTTGTTATTGCTCTGCAAGATAAGTATAGAAATGGTTGGGCTTTATGAGCTGAAGTTATATTATGTGATCTCAGGTAATACCCACAAGGAGTAGTAATAACAAAAACTTGCCGTTAGTAGGTCAAAATACAAAAAGAGGAAATGCTGAACTTCATTACCATGGGTGGGTAGCTGGTATCACTCCAACAGTCTCTGTCTCTTACTCTATTTTTTTTTTTTCTATTTGTCAAGGAGACAGAAACTCACCCTGAGAGTGTCAGGGAAATAAAAGTACTTCGGAAAAAAGTTTTATAGAAAATCATTGGGTACATTTCTGCTTATCATGTAGTTATGAATATCATAATATCAATATTGAAATTACATGTGCATAAACATTTAAAAAAACACTCCAGACACAGAGTCTAACAATTAAGCAGTTTTAAACATTAGCAATGACCCTCATCAGGGACATATCAGTGATGAACATTCAGGAAATTGGAATATGGCCTAATAGGCGGTAATTACAATATTACAAATCCTTTTATGTAAGTAAATGTCTGGAAACTTTGCACCATCTAAAGTAGACCTAGATAACCAGACTGAATATTCTGCAATGACAAATAAATTACGTAATGGCATTGTAATTATGTAATTGACTCTGCTCTATATATTTGTCAATTATATATTGAGTCAACCTTCATCAAGAAAATTCTAGTGCTGATTCACTTTGCTGACCTTTTTTTTTTTAATTTGCTTTGCAAGAACAATCCTAAAACAGAATAAATGGTTTACTAACTTTATCCTTTGCCTTTTCTGGCATTTACTTTTCTTTTTCAAATTTGAAATGCAACCAGCTGCATCTGTGCAATAAAAACTGAATTATGAAACAAAATGGCTCTTTCCCTGTCTTCAGCCTCTAGGCACCTCGACCTTGCATGTGCAGCTGGGCATAAGGGTCGCTAAACATTCTAAATTATAAAAATTTTTAAAATACTAGATAACTGAAGTTCTAATAAGAGGCAAACTGTTCCTTTCTTTTTAAGTCTGCCACTAAAAATGACAATAGAAGCTTGAGGATTATTCTAAAATCAGTATGTAAAAAATTTCTGAAAGTCTTTATATGAATCCATGTGTAATGGCAGTGTTGATTAAATTCTTCTAAGGAAATCTAAAAAATGCCAGGCCATGATCATATTCCCATCTTGGGGGAAACTGGCATGATATCGCCATCATCATACAATCTTCATCATGCAAATTTGGTATGGTCCAGTAGATTTCTGGAAAGACATATTTCCTGTGACACAAGGATGATGTCCATCTTAGTCCAGCCCTACAAAACCAGATTCCATGTACAGTTTTTCCTGAATGGAGACACTGTTGGCTGACAGTAGATTTTGGTGAACAAGAATACTACTGGCTTTGTGGCAGTGCTTAGGAGACTTCAGGCTGCAGTCAAGATTCTACAGCCCAAAGAGGAATCAGAGGGACTGAGGTCACTAGATAACTTAGCAATGCCCAGGAAAATATTATTCTTTGAAGTCATGCTGGGCAACACTTCTCTTCTGAAGCACATGAATGGTCAGGAGTGGCCAAGAGCTTTTTATTTAGTCTGTAACATTTCTGAAACATTTTCTTTTTGGTCTCCCTCCAACTCATCAATGTGAAAACTGAGGCAGCTCAAATCTAAACGTAGAAATTCAAATGTCACTTTGCTTAAAATCAAAAGTATTCTAGACTAGTGCTGTCTAATATGGTGGCCACTAGCTGCATGTGGCTACTGAGCACTTGATGTACCAAAGGTGTGACATGCTCTCCTGATTTTAGAAAACTTAGTATAAAAACAGAGAATTCAAAATGTTTTGTTAATTTTTAATAATGGCTACATATCGATAAAATAATTTGGATGTATTATATTAAAATACTATAATTAATTTTATCTTTTTTATTTTTTAAAATGTGGCTCATAGAAAATTTAAAATTACATATGTGGCTTGCATTATATTTATACTGGACAGCACTTGTTTTGGACAATAACTTCTACAACCATATTATTCTAATTTGTACCCTATTTATGTGTCCCTGGGACAAATGAGCTCTTGAAGTTTGAGAAAAGTGACCAGGATTCCAATTAGACTTTTTAATGGGGAAAATAATTCAAGATGTCCTTCATAGTAAAAAAAATCTAGTTTATGCTGTATATCTGAACTTACCTCAAAATAAAAACGAATAATGTAATGTGATGATTGTCAGCTCTAAAATACAAAGTGTAATTCACTGTTCTTTGCTGAAATTTCTTTTATTTCTTTGCATTGTGACTATATTGTCAATTAGGAGTAAAGTTATAAAATATTTTCTCAGATTGTCTCTATTTGTCTACCATTATTTAGCTAAGTAATCTTTGAGATAGATAACATATCCCATTTTAACGAGCAATATAAACATTAGCTATTCTTTCGAAAACGTTAACAGAATTATCCTAACTTAGGATGTATTCAAATGAAATCTTTGAATACTTTGAAATGACCAATTTTTGTGAAAGTCTGACTTGTTTCCCACTGAAACTACTAAATTAGTCACTATGTAGGCATTATCAGGACTTAATCTTTAACACAGGAGTCAAAATTTTAAAACCCCATTTTTTTTAGAGAATACAGTTTACAGGTTAAAAAAAGATACAGGAAATTGCCAAGACAATCCTGAGTACTCACCAAAGAACACCCATGCGCACTTATTTAAATGGGTAAATTCTAAAACACACTTGGCCCTGGCATTTGCAATGCTGTTTCTCTAGTCCACAGTGCCAATGAATGCAGTCCACCCTGGTGTTGGAATGATATAACAACTGCCCTTGGAGCGATATGGGTGTAGGCTGGGAGGGATGCTGTGTCCTGATCTTCCAACTAATGCCACCTTCTAACAAGACCCCTTTTTTTCTCTTCTTCCCTCTTCTGATATATGGGACATTTATCACATATATCTGCTAAGTCTCATGGGGAAAAGTACGCCAGGATATTAATCTTCTTAAATGGAAATCTTAATATTAATACTTAATCAAGAAGGCATTTTTAAAGGTTAAAAATAGTGAGCCCTTTAAAACAGCCAAAATTTTGAGAGGGAATAATTAAAGGAGGAAGGAAGGAAAGAGGGAAAAAGAGGATACGTGCTCTTTACTAGATGGTAAAAATAAAATAAAACAAAAAATAATCTGAACCCAGATGGTGTGCCCCTTCAGGTCCTCCATGTCAGTGTGACCTGTCAGATCCCTACACCATGGAAGATAAGAAATCCTATCTTGTTTTCTTCTCGCGAGAATAGTAGTAAAGGGAGATTTGTGTTTGGAAAGCAGAATGTCTGCTGAGGTCCAACAGCCTCCAGAAATCAGAGATTTAATTTCATTTTCCAATTTAATAGTTTTGAGGAAGAACCAAAAGAATTTAAGATCTCTTTTTTTGTGATGCATATTTTTATGTGATGATCATATTCATCATCTTTATTTTGGTCTTTGAAAATAATTATTTTTTAAAATTAAAAAAACCCACTAAAAATAATACATAATTAATTTGATAAAATGTTCAACGCAATCCAAAAATAAATTTGAGATACTTGGACTTAGTGCAATTTCTATAGGAGAAAAGCGTTCCTATAAAAGTCAAAGAAAAACTATATTTATTCTGGGGAAAAATATCATAATAAATATTAGGTCTAATGTTCTAGTTTCTCGAGTCTGATTTGAAGTCAGTGTTGTTTTCTTTATTTTTGTTTTTGCTTGCTTTTTAAAGTAAATAAAAAGTTGCATTGTACTAAACTTCTTGACATGGACATTTCCAAAACTACATTGTAAACTATGAGCACTTCCATTCCAAATATGAGAAAAAGATATACTAGCTTTTCATAAATATCTTTAGCTCATAAGCAGTGTATCTGGATAGCCATCAATTGGAGAGAAAAGGGTTTTTTATAAACGATAATGTTTCCTTACTCTAGTAAACTGGATAATGAATGATCTTATAATGGAATATTATTCCTACTCTATTCAGACATTTTGGCACCAACCTACAGGGTAGATTTTTCTGAATATTTGAAACTTGATAATTGTAGAGATTATCCATTAAAATGTTCCTATTGGTCAGGTTGTATAAATTCACAAATAAATACAATTATATCTGGAAAATGAAAAGTAATCAATCTTATCTTCATCAGTCTAAATACCAATCTTGCCTCCTTTTCTTCTCTAAGTTTCTTTATTCTCCCCCCAATTTTTTCCATCAGAAGGACATCTTATTGGAGAGCAAATTAAGGAAAGAATAAAACTAGGCATACGTTTCACTTAGCAGGTGATACCCAGTATGAGTTTGCAAAATACTTTCTCCAGGATTGTAAAATGGCAGAATTTTATGATAGAACATTTTGGTTATTATTAATATAGTGTATATAAGGAAGAATAAAATAAAAAGGCATTCTCCATACAAGCTTTAGGGGCATATGGGTTCATGGCTCTTAAAAGTGTCCTTCAATTTCTTACTGTTGTAAGTGGAATTTTTTTTTTTTGCACATACTGTACAACTATCACCTACAATCATCTTCTCATAAACAGTTTTGAACACATTAATGATAAAAAGTAAAATGTGAAAGTCGTGGGACCATGTCTTATAGCACTACTTAGTATAGCACTACTGAGCAGCAGTTCAAAGGAATTACTGCCTTATGAAGAAATCTAAAGGATGTAGGATGGCTAGGTTTTCAAAGCAAAAATAATTTGCTACTATTCACTTCAAATGTGTGCCACTGGTTGCTGAAAATGTATGTTTTTAAGTGTAAAGTTGTGTTTACTTGCAATTTCAAATTTAACTCATTGGGATTAGGTATCCATTACATGCCATAGAAGACACTATTATTTTCATAGAGCAGTCACATGCATTGAAGTTAGGATTACCAACTGGTATATATGTATTTTTTTTACACCTCAAAAACAGAATCACTATAGTGCATATCATGCTTTCACACCTTCCTTGCTGAAGGACAAAGTACATAAAATGCTGGAGTTTGGCTTCCACATCTGAAGGAAGCCGACCTAGTACTCTGGCAGGATCACATCTTGCTGTGGAATTCCAAATCCCACAGCAGGATTTTCTTGCCCTTCTTTGGGGGCTGCTGCTTCTTCCAAAGTCTTCTGCTTCTCCCCTACAAGGCCCTCCTTTACTTCCGGGCCGGCCACCTTTATCCCATCCTCCCATGCCTTGGGCACCATCTTGGGGCCCTCCTCAGTGTTTATATCTGCATCTTTAACTTCCTCAGAGGTCTGCACCTTCATCAGCTCAGCCTCTGCCTCCTCCGCTGCTGCTTGGGCCCCATCTCCTTGAATTTTCTCTCCTTCTGGAACAGCTTTGATGTCCTTGTCACCATGTTGGATTGGAGATGGGTCTCGGCTAGCCTTGTGGCTCTCCTGGATGCCACTGTGGCTGCTGCTGGCACTTCCCAGCCGGGAAGAGGCCACCACAGCCTTCACCGCTGCCTGATAGGAAACAGGAAAGTGTCAGTCAGTCAGTGTTACCTCCACTTAAAGTCACAAATTAGAGCTCAGCCCCAACTTCACTTTTAGGCAGTCTGATATATAGGTTAGTGTTCAATCTTCCAAAGCATATTATTGCTAGATTGCTGAATGAAAACTTGTTTGGAGAACAAACAGCGAAACCTTTTAAATCTCAAATTAGTGTATTTAGTTATCTGGACAAGTAAATGTGTTTACCCATGGATAACCAGTTTTTAAAAATTTTAGACTGTGTTTCCCAAAGTATTTGTTTCATGGAACACTAGTTCCATGGATGTTAGCAGTTATTATGGAGATTAAAGAGTTCTATGGTCAAATTAGCTTGAGAAATCCTGGTTTAAGTCAACATTATTTAATCCAGCGTATTTCAAATTAATTTGACCATGGAACCCTTTAGATCTACTCAATCTGGACCAGCCTGTGAGCAAGTGTTGACTAGGAGCTGATTTTTAACCCCCAGCTGTTTTCTGAGATTGCCTGCTTATACAGCTAGTCCTAAACACCATTATGTAATAGAAAAGCACCGAATCGCTATTCCATATGTATTATAAAAAAGAAGATATATTTTGGTGAATAATTTTCTGTATCATTTAAATCATCTTAATTTTTGTCAAGTATAGTAATTATCTATATTGCCAAATAAGTTTCAAAAATTATTTCCCAATTCTCTCATATTCAAAAAGTAAACAACTTTCTGTATAAAACACCAGTTTCTTGAAAAATGCTGTTAAAGTGGTTCACTTTAATTAGATGAGAAGCAGCAATAATATATTTGGTGAGAAAATCTCAACATATACCACATTCCTCTTTATTAATAATGAATTTCCTCTGAGAGGATAACAAAACCGTAAGTGGCTCTGTGTCAGTATTTTTGGGATTTCAAAGCAGGATTTTCCCTGGGCCCATAGGAGATGAATAATAATATTAGATGAAGAATGGTAGCGCTATCATTGAGAGTTCAAGATAAGAAGGAAGTCTCTGGGTTTTTCTCCTTAAAAAACAAAACAAAAATATGCTATCTTACCTTAAGCTTGCGCCGAGCATTGAACTCTTGGAGCTTCTTTTGAGCCGTATCCATGTGTACAAAATTGGCTGCTTTACCTGTGACCCACGGGTGCTGGAGAGCTTGAAAGGTAGTCAGCCTTTTCTTAGGATCCAAAACAATTAATTTTCTGACCTGAAATGATAAAGAACCATAGACTTAGGGAGATTTTTATGGTGACCTGAGCTTGCCTTCAGCTTGTAAACTTCTAGGTCTTGTTTTAGTTCCCTAGCAGTAATTATACATTCAATAACAGTAAATATTCATTAAAAAATTGTTTAAGCCCTCAGAGATCACTGTGGGTAGGAACAGCTTCATGTAGCAGTAGCCGAGGGAGTCTAAGAAGACAGTCATGTGTACCACCTGAGACCCCAAACTGGCAGACTGCTTTCCAGCAGAAGTCAAACAAACAGGGCCTTGCTTGCCTGTGGACTAGAAGTTCTTTGAAGGCAGAAACAGCATCTGATCATTCTAGGCTTCACTTCACAATCACCTAGAATTCAGAACTTAAAATACATCTCCACAATAATGGAATTATTCATGCATCATCATTCTTTCTGTAGGATTAAATGGCAAGCAAAAGGGATAGTATCCCAGCCCCTGTGGAATATTATCTTATTCTGCCTTGAGATTCCTGGATCTTTTTCTCTAATCCCTTGAGGGTACTTGAAGGAATAAGCTCACAGCTTAAAAGCCATTTCAGAATCAAAGTAAAGAAGTCAGTGGCTTGAGGGCATGATTTGCTTAAAGGACTGAAACCAACCGACTGGCAGCCTGTTCTGGGAGGTTTACTCCTGCTTGTGAGGATGAGCAGACAATAAATTGCCAGGAAAGTCATCAAATGAAGTAATCCATGGCCCTGGGCTCAGTAGGGGTGACCTGGCATAAGGTAGAGACTATTTGGAGCCAGCAGTTTTGTACAAGCCCTGGTTATGCCTCTACCTACTTCAGTGACCCTAGACATAGACACACACAGGAAATGAGTGCCTATGAACACTTCCCCAGACCCTTTTCTTACAAGATCTCGTTTCTACCTTAATTCCTTTGTAAATGCATTTTTAGGTGCGTATAAAAGTTCCTAAAAACATACACAATCCTTTTAATAAACTTATCATTTGGAACTATTAGCACCAATTCATAAATGAGGGATGGAAGGAAGTTGGGAAAGACTTAGTGGTTTGCCTAAGGTCAGACAATTTGTAATTGGTGGAGCCTGCATTCAAACTCAGCTCTGTGTTATATCAGAGCTCATCCTGTGGCCACCATACTGTGATGCCTCCAAGACTGTCAGTCTCTCTGGACTTTGGCCTGCTCCTGTGTAAAATGAGGGGCTTTGGATAATTTCAGGTCTAAGATCTTGTCTAACTCTAAGAAGTGAACACAGGCTAACGAAATCAGGCAGCAAGTCAAAATGAGGGATCAATATTATCTGGTTCTCTTTTCATGTCCTTTCTGTAGCATTTGCAAACGAATGTGTGTTTGGGCTGAAGACACTGGATTTGTAGAGGGCAGAGTTAGTTGGTGCTAGTTTAACATGCATTGAGACCCTTAATTCTCACAACAGCCTAGAGATAGGTACTGTTATCATCCTAGATGAGAAAACAAGGCATAGAGAAGTTAGCTAATAAGCCCAAGGTCACACTTCTAGGTCATGACAAAGGGGGCACTTCAATCCAGATGTGTCAGACTCTAAAATTACATGGTTTATTTTCTGATTCATTGTTTCATTCAATGAACATTTATTGAGCCTGCACTATATGCCTATCTACTAATAGTACTAAGATGTGAGCACACAGGCATTGTCCTCTCCCAGAGCTTATAATCTAATTAAAGAAGACCATTGAACATGTAACTATAAGTGATGACTACTATGAAAGGCGGAGTACAGGGGGCAAAGGAATAATGTGGCTGAAGGAACCAACTGTGGGAGGGAGGGAGTGGAGGAGGTGACCTCGCCTCCCAGGGGATATCTAGTGGCAGCTAGGGCTGGAGGATGAGGGTCACCCAAGCAAAGAGGGCTGTGTGTGTGTGTGTGTGTGTGTGTGTGTGTGTGTGTGTGTGTGATGGGGAAGAAGGTGATGGGGAGGAAGGGGGAGAGAACATTACAAAGCAGAAGAAAGAGCAGTGGCCAATATCCTGAGCTGCGCTGCTGACAAAGTTGAAGTCTGATGCATTTGAGTGAAGAGTAGCAAAAAAGAGGGATAGGGAGCTAGTGAAGGCGTGGGAGAGGGGGGCAGGCTCTAGACCAGGCAGCGCCATGCAGATCTTGTTATGGGTTTGGGGCTGTATCCGAAGAGCCTTAAAGCAGGGGAGTGACATGATGAGATTTATTTATAAGATCATCCCTCCGGAGCCTGTGTGGAGCCGTATTTGAGAAGGGCCCGGGAAGAGGCAGGGAGACCAGATAAGAGGTTGTAGCAGTGGTCCAGGTGGGAGAGGATGGTGGCTCGGACTGGGACAGAGGTGGTGGAGGTGAAGAGAACCGGATGGATTCAAGAGATGATTCAGAGTGTGGGGTCTGCCTCGAGGGAGGAGCTGGGATGACTTATCTACACATCGCACACACCGTCCCTCTCTTCACAGCCACGCTGGGAAAGCCACAGGCCCTCAGGGATCAGGTCCATGAACGAATGCAGAGAGTAAGCAAGAAATGCTTGAAGGGAAAAGAGCACTGGACAGAGTGTCTGGAAACCTGAATCATTCCCAGCACTGTCTTTCTGCCTGGAAGCTGTGTGACCTTTGGCAGTCATTTCACCTCTCTAGTCTTTATCACACTCATCTTTAAAATGAGGGGAGGACTAGATGACGCCTAAGATTCCTTGGAGATCTAACCTTCTGTTATCCGAAAGTCAGTTCTGGATTATGTCTATGTGGATTTTCTCTGGAGAATAGATGATAAATGTTTCAGTCCCATGTTAGCATCCTCTTTATTTTAGAAGAGGTGGACCACCTCCCCAGCCGGTGTGTGTTTCTTGAATGCAATATTGAGGTCAAACAAACAAACAAAATGCACTATTAATACAGTGGAACTTTTTTATAATGCCAATGATATATACTTGTATTGCTATGAGGATATTTTCATACGTTTGAATGAAATTTCAGGAAGCAACATTGCTTTATTTGAAGTATATCTAAATCTAGGCAATAGAAAGCCATGTTAAAACAAAATTCTTCTGTTTGAGTTATGTTTGGATTCACGTAGCACAGCTTTCTGCATAAGCAAGGCTCTATACTAACGATACAGTAAAAGCTCATTAACACTACGATAATTGTAATTTGTGATAATTCAGCTTGTGATCAGTCAAAAATATCTATTTTTACTATCTAAAAGGAAAATGTATTAATGTGCATTATTTTATTAAAAGTACTTTAAAATTGAAAAGAAAAATGATATTAATAGGGGCAAAATTTTAAAAATAACATTGCCTATTAATTAGTTAAAATGAATTTATTTCATTTTGTTTCATTCTGCTTTAGTCACACTTACCAAGTCCTTGGCATTTAGAGATACTTCATCCCACCAGGGGGAGATAAAGTAATATTCACAGTTCAGAATTCTCCTGAACATGAACTGATCTCCTCTTTCATCATAGAATGGTTCAAATCCACAAAGTCTAGAGGGACAAAATACAGGGAATAAAATGTCTTTAAAAGCCTAAGTATATTTCATCAAGTTTCTGCAGAAATTCAAGACCATCCTTTTTCACAGCTTTCTGCTGTGGAAGCAAGTCTACTCAGCACAAGTAAGTAATTGCCTTGTTACAATTCACTATTGATAATGTAAACACACAATTATGTCTTCAGGAAGCAGGATTGATCTAAAAGCAACTTAGGAGTTCTACAAAAAGCTATAATATTAAAATTATGGCACATAGAAATAAGAATAATAATAGCTAACATTAATATAGGCATTATGTTAAGGACTTTCCACAGATTTTTTTCATAGGAATTGAGAAGACAGACAGACAGATTGATTTGAGTTCCAATTTAGTATAAAATGGAAGAGTTAGGATTTTGAGAGTAAAGAGATTAAAAAATGGAAAGAAAGGATTTTCACTCATTTTTGTTCTGCCCTATTTGATGAATTCCTCCATAGAAATGAGTAAAGTATTGTATTTCCATCCCATTCCAGTTTGGATTTCAGAGTAAACAAAGGTAGGAGTTCAAACAGGGAACAGCCTTAAAAAATGTATTAATACAGTGACTGGATACAGCCCAGAGAGATGAGCAGCCTAGATTTACCTCATTCTTGTATGTTACCCTCCCTGGCTTTTGTGTATCTTTAAAGATGTTCTACTCTGTTCACTTTCATTTTCCACTACAGGGTCAGCTTAAAATGAATGGGAAAAGTGGCGTACAAGGAACAGGGAACCATCTTGGGCATCCTAAAAAGAGAGAGAGAGGAAAAGCGAGTTGTTTGTCTGGGACCACCAATCTCCACTGTTCGTCAATGGGCAGAGGTGCTGAAATCACTAGGGATCAAAAGGGCAAAAAGCCCATGCCAGGGCATGTGTCACAGGTGTTGCATTTGAAAAGAATGGGGGTGGTGGAGCAGAAATGAATAAGTTTCTTCAAGCTGGTCAGGTTGGTGCAGAGCATGAAAAATTCAAATGCATCCTAATATGATGAGTTTTTAGGAAGAAGTGGTTTCTCATGTGCTCTTGCTCAGAGAATGTCCCACTGGGAGAGTCTTTGTCTCTTCCAAATATTCTGGAGCCAGCTGGGAAAAGGCCAGTCTTGAGAGTGTTGAGGCCTGGGCCAATGCATTCTCCTTCTCCCTACTGTAGCAGTCTGCGCAGAGAACCTGGCTCCAGACCTACCAGTGGAAGGGACGCAGAAGGAGAGACAGGCGCGCGTGTCCACTCCTTGACAAGGAGAGAGTATGGCCTTGCCTGGCCCTCCCTTACCCTCCACAACACTAGAAAATTATGGCCTGTTGCTGATTAGTCATGGAGAAATTAGCCAATTTTCCAGACTTAATTTAGGAGGCTCCTTATGTTTTCCCTTCTGAAAATCTGGAAACAAAAATGACAATTCAGGAGTTATAGTGCTCAAATGCTTTTTATTTCATTTCAATCATGTCAGTGACTTTGCGCTTTGGTGACAGAGGTAAAAAGTTTATGTTGTGTCAGCCTGAAATGCCAAAAATGGAAGAAATGTGAGAGAGTAGCACGCGCGCGCACACACACACACACACACACACACATGCATGCGCCACACGCACTATGCAAAAACCCTTCAGAAATGGTAATATTTTAATTCCAGCAATGAGAGATTAGGAGCATATTTGGATTACACAGGCCTGAAGTGTGAATGTGTTATGCAGGCTAAGTCCAAGCCTTTGGGCAGAGCTGTAATGTTGAAAGCTAAAGGAGAGAATTCGAATCTCTGTCGTTATCTGATTCTGGTCAGATCAGGAGGCCCAGGCCTGCAGCTTTTGTCTATGGGGCAGAGGGTTTAGGTGCAACAGGTAGAGAGACCAGAATTCCTGGGAGAAACAACAGAATGGTCTTCATTTTCAGCTGAGTGTTATCTTTAGAAATAGCAAAGCCATACCACTGAAGCCTGGTGGTGGCGAGCTTTTAAACTTTTAAGAAGGAAAGAATGAAGTGTTAAACCGCAGTAGTAGCCATAAGAACAGGGGCAGGAGTAAACAGAGGTCTCTACACCGATAGTAAGAATCATACTTCTATTTATTCATGGTTCTATTCAAAAATAAACCCCAGAGTTTATGTGTGTATATAGGCGAGTGTATGTATTATAAAACAGGTGCCTTGACATTTCGGACGTAGAAGAAAGGATTTGGCTGAAGTTCATAATGTAGTTCCACTGCAACAATTACTTTGCCAGGAATTATCGACAAATGGATCCTTAGTTCTAATTCTTCATTTGGTTACTTCTGTACTCTGTTCCCTTCTGGCTCCAAGCCACTCTGGTGGAATGAGTTGGGTGTCTAGAGGTCAAAATCTAGGTCACCAGTAGGCCACTGAGTACACAGCAAAGCTAAACTGGTACAATAAGGGAGATACATAGATCCAAAGGAACAATCCATCAGAGAAAATATATCAGTGAACCTTGCAGGTGGAATTCGGCAATTATTAATGAACTGCAGGCTAAGTAAAAAGTCCTCAGGCTTAGGGGCTGATAGGAGTTAGTATAGAACTAAAGGATATTAGTTGTCACCAGCATTGTTATTTCCATTCTGGGGCCTGCTACTCTTATTTTCAACTAACACCTATTAATTACCTTCAGTGTATAAAGAGAAAAGAAATATAAAACATAGTTTGTATAATTTGGTAATGGACTAGGGGTAAGGAACATTGATAGATTTTTAAATTTATCTTCGGCGTTATAATAAAATGTTTCTCAAATGATTACATTTGTCTTTCCCTTCATTTTCCCATGTCAGTGTCCTTATCACGGAGGTTTACTCATTCCATATTCCAGTTATTCTGGGTGAATGTAACTTAACTTCTGACTTCCATCGCTCCAAATTCCTTTATATCATTAATACTTCAACTCCTCCCAGTATATTTCAACACAAAATTATAATTGGGTGCATTTATATTTTAGGGACAAACCTGAATCCTTATTTGTATAGTTCACTTTTTCACTTAGTGTCACTAAGTATGATATGTCACTTACATAATTCAGGAGACAACATTCTTTCCCTAGTATAAAAATGATCTCAAACACAAGTAGAAGGACTTCTACAATGTGGTCAGGGATTTATTGTAAAGAATTAAGCACTTAGTGTGGTGAACATAGATTACCTAAGAGTTTGCACTTTCCCAAGAAAAAACATGGTTTTCTACCTCTCCAAATTGTTCTCAAGCTTTGATACACTCTAGAGGCAAGAGAATTGAACATTGAAAATATCTTTCGGCATTAAAATTAGTAGATGGCTCTTTTATGGGTTGCCTGTTAAACCTTTTTGTCTTGGCTATCAACAAATATATATATCCAGGTGAACTTACTGTTTGCTAACATGCTTGGGGGTCTTATATCAGTTAGCCCATTCCTGGCCCATATGACCTGGACATTGTACTTTATAAGAGCATTATTAAGTTAAAAACAAATTTAAAAAAACTTCCAAACAACTTTTTCTCCTAGGACTGAATCATGTCCTCCCCAAAGTCATATGTTGAAACCCTAACTCCTGATGTGGTAGTATTTGGACATGGAGCCTTTGGGGAGCAATCGGGTTTTGATGAGATCATGAGGGTGGAGCCCTCATCATGGGATTCGTCCCCTCCTAAGAAGAGACACCAGAGAGCTTGCTCACTCTCTCTTCCCACCATGTGAGGACACAGTGTGAAGGTGGCCACCTGCAAGCCAGGAAGAGGGCCCTCACCAGAATCCAACAATGCTGACACCCTGATCTTGAACTTCCAGCCTCCAGAACTGTGAGAAAATAAATTTCCATTGTTTAAACCATCCAGTCTATAGATTTTGTTATGGCAGCCCGAGCAGACTAATATACTTTCTTTCTAACGCTCCAAAATCTTATAGATTTGAATATTACAGGTTTCAATAACTAACTCTGTGGTACTCTCTAAATGGCAACCAAATCTGCTTGTTTTGAATTAATCTCTCAAACTCATTGATATCTTGTTTTTTAGTTGTCCTACAGCAATCTTCCTTTTCCAACACTCTTCCATTTGTTTGGTGATTTTCCTCATCACCTTCAATTCTATTGTCTCTTGGGATTTCCTGAAATTCCTTATTCATATTAGGCAGGAGCTCAAGGATGGAGTTGAGGATAGCAGAGAGTGAAATACTTAGCTCATTTTCTTTTTTCTCAGAGAGAAATCTGCATATGGTATTAAACCCAAGGCCTTTAAAAATCTAACAGAAATGGGGAACAAAATTGATAGCCAAATGCATTTAAAATATTCATGATAAGAAATACACCAGTTTGGGATGCTTAAAAAATTAAATAGCCACTTTCCCTTTTCTAAAAGGACTAATAGTCTAATTATTTTAGATAAGATGCAAATAAGTAAAACAAGAACAAGTTTAGTAAGTGGACTTGGGTTTCACATTCATTACTACTGTGAAATAATGAATTGTTTCCCAAATCTGTCATAACATTGCATAGCAGATGAGACATAGAAAAGCGCTGGACAGAAGTTCTTGCCCCAAGAATGTTACAAAATAAAAATGAATGCTCATTTTCAGAAAATTCTATCACTGACTACTTTAGTATGTAATAGAAAATCACAAGAAGTCAAAAAGTAATCTTGATTTTTATGAGTGCTCTAGGTACCTAGAAAATGTTACAAAAAGGCAATAGAGATTGCTTTTTTTTTGCATAGAGATTGCATAGAAATTGCTTTTCTTCACTTACAAGATGTAGGTGATTATTCCTACAGACCACATGTCCACCTCAGGTCCATAGGCACAGCCTCTAAGAATTTCAGGTGCTGCAGAAAAAATGAAAATTGTGTTAAATTGGAGCTAAATTCAACATTCACATTTTTATAACAAGCAATGGGAAAGAAACGAATTCATCAACAAAACTTCAGAACAGTATAATTCGATCTTCTCTCCCCAAACCACAGTATAAGGCTAAAAATTCATGTGTCTATTTTAGTGGGAGAGATTATAGTCCCTTTGTGTTTGTGACGAAGAAAAGTAATGCTATGAACTTTAATATTCTATCTTGGAACATTATGATATTGCTCAAATCAGATATATAGAGCTATATTTCTGTACCAAAAGACCCCTTACTTCAAAGGGAGCTTTGCACATAGAAAAGGAAGGGTCAGGGCAGATGGCAGGGAAGATTGGCATATCTCTAGTGCTGGAAGGTGGGGAAAGGATCTAGGAGGGGCCCTGACACATGTAGGTCTCCAAAGAACAGCTGTTCCCAGTCAGCCTGGGGTCACGAACTGAGAAATGGGACTTCTCTGCACACAATGAGTAGCTTATAATATCCCTGACCACCATTGTGAAAAGGGAACATCTTCTCAGCCATGAAATGGCCTAGAATGGAGAACAGTAAGAACTTTTATATTTTGATTACCATGGATCTGTAAAAATGGGGAGTTAACTGGGTCCAGTGGTTTGCCCTGAGGAATGGGGGTGTTGTTTGTTTGCCTAACTAACAACTTAAGAAAAAGAGAAATGAGAGCTCTGCCATCCATGGAGAAACAGGGTTCGGGCCTAGAGCCCAGAGTAGCCTTTGTCGATTTTGAACACAAGTGCCGTAGATGCCAGTGGGGTCCCCAAGGAAGGAGCTACTTGATAAATGTCTAGGGTTCGTTGAGGGAGGCTTGGGGACAAGGGCAACACACTCCTGCTCTGGGCTGGGGGCTGCCCACGCTGGCTGGAAATGTCATACTCAGTGTTGACTAAGGGAGCTCTGGAGGGAGGCTGTCCTCCAGGACTCTGGATTTACTTTATAGGAAGAAATACTGCAGATGCCCTGCTGACCTCTTCCCATACTATCCCTAACCCCTTACCATGTTCAGTTAGGATTTTCTCTTCCCTGTAGAAACTGTGTGACATAAACTATAGGAGACGAAGAGCCCGTATGGTAAAATGAGAGTGTGTGTTCTATCACTCTCAACAGCAATTCAGCCAGATACACCCTTTAAGAAATTGCTTCTGCGGCCAGGTTTTTCTTATGTACAGATGAGTTATTCCTAGAAAATTTTCCTTTAGATTTAATTAACAAAATTAAGAAAAACCCATGCTCAATGTCAACATTATTCGCTCTGTCAGAGTAGCTTTCATTCCCTAGAGCAATCTTCACCACACAGAAGGCGCCTTGAGCCCCAACAGTGAACTCCCACTTGCAAGCACTTTGCTTGTCACACTGTATGGGGAACTCAGATAGGAGGGCTGCTGCTGCTTGTCTTTGTCTCTGGGAGCTGTTCCAGTCAGAGAGCTGAATGCATGCCTATTGAGCGTGCATGTTGAGCATGTGTAAGTCCTTCCCCACTCAGGTCTTCATGCCAGCAATTCGTACCTGGTCTGAAATGCTATCAAGCCTGACACTGACATTTAAACATAAATACAGCAATATGTTGGGGAGAGTCTTTTACATTTTCTGGGTCTTGGTTTTATTTTTTTTTTGAGACAGAGTCTGACTCTGTTGCCCGGGCTAGAGTCCCATGGCATCAGCCTAGCTCACAGCAACCTCAAACTCCTGGGCTCAAGCAATCCTTCTGCCTCAGCCTCCCGAGTAGCTGGGACTATAGGTGTGAGCCACCATGCCCGGCTAATTTTTTCTATATATTTTCAGTTGTCCAGCTAATTTCTTTCTACTTTTTTTAGTAGAGACGGGGTCTTGCTCTTGCTCAGGCTGGTCTCCAACTCCTGAACTCAAATGATCCACCCACCTCGGCCTCCCAGAGTGCTAGGATTGCAGGCATGAGCCACCGCGCCCAGCCTGGGTCTTGGTTTATAACCTCTAAAATCTGAATGAATCAAACTAGTTGATTTCCAAGTTTGAGTTTTAACTTGATACCCACCGTGTCATTAGTAAAGGATTGGTTACTGATCATTCAAGTAAGAAGAGAGGACAAACACAAACATTCTAACCTGCAGAACATGCTGCATTTCCCATTTCTTCAGCTAGTGTGTATGCTGCCCTGCGGGGACTCTGCCTGTTGGCTTTAGTGAAATCAACCCTCCCATCCTGTGCTGGCCAGAGATACATCCTGGTACGGGTCTGGTGCTTTCTCTGGCCATTTCTTATGGCTCCCAGCCAAAGGGCCCCAAAGAAGTGAATACTGTGGATCAAAGTGCTTTTTGAATCCACTATAGGGCATCTGAGTTTCACACCCAACATGGCAATATCTGATCTCCCTTCACAGCACCAGATGCAGCCTTGCTTTCCCGAGGCAATTTATTAATATTTCCTTGTGAGGCATTATGCAGCAATGTGAGTAAATTTTTCATGGGAAAAGCTAACTTCCATAGTGAGGATAACTGAGACAAAAGGAATATAGAATGTTTTTATCCTCCATAATAAATTTCTCTTAAAACTAATTGCTTTTAAAATAACATATATATATATTTTGAGATAGCATCTTGCTCTGTCTCTCAGGCCAGGGTGCAGTGGCTCAATCATAGCTTACAGTAGCCTCGAAGTCCTGGGCTCAACTGATCCTCTTGCCTCAGCCTCCCAAGTAGCTAGGACTACAGGCACGTGCCACCACCCCCAGCTAATTTTTTTTTTTAAAAATTGTAGTAGAGACAGGGTCTCACTATGTTGCCTAGGCTGGTCTCAAACTACTGGCCTCAAGAGATCCACCAACCCTGGCCTCCCAAAGTGCTGGGATTATAGGCACAAGCCACCATGTCAGGCCGAAAAAGAACTTATATTTTCAAATTGTAATGTAAAATTGGGGTCAAATGAAGTCAAAACACCTAGATACAATTAGATAACTTTCTCAATCACCTTTAAATATTTTCAATTACTAGTTAATACGACCTTGACTTTGTTCAGAACCAGCAGAATACACTCTTGTAATCTAGCTGAACCCTTCCAAGAGGCAAAATCTTTTCTAGAATAAAGTTTAGGTTCTGGCACTCCAGCCTTTGAAATCTCCTAGGTATCAAATGTCCTTGGCAGGTGATTCTACTAATTTGCGATCTTCTTAGAGTGAGACATAGTTGACTGCTTTCAATTTAGTTCAAGAAAAGACATCAATTAGTCCACACTTAATGCTATAAGCACTTCTGGCTGTCTTTCATATATTTTCCCACTTCAGTACAAAAATAAACAAACAAATAAACGAAATAAAAGTAAAAAAAATAATTTTAAGGCATAAAACAATTTTTTAAAAACATATTTTGAAAGACTTAGGATCATCCTTTCTGAATTATAGATGAGCTCTATGATTCTCTCCTACTTATTAAGTTAAAACTACAGAACGGCATTCTTTATCAGAAGACGTTTTCAAGCTATTGTTAACTCTTTTAAGGAAAACACATCTGAAGAAGACTAAGGTGAATGAAATTGACAAGTTCCTTCATTCACTCAATAAATAACTCACCAAATATTTATTAAGCACCCACTGTATGATAGGCACTCTATAGGAGGAGCTGCTGGGGGACAATGGGACATCACAGAGAACAAATCCCCGCCTTCACAGAGCTTACGTTTGGTGGTGGTGGGCAGATGCTAATTCAAAACATCAAACGAAGAAAAGCAAAGTTGTGACTGGAAGTGCTTGGAGGGAGGATGTCTTTAGTAGGGGTTGGCCTGGTAAAGGAGGTCAGGGATGTTGACCAGAGCAAGCAAAGTTTGAACTGAGATGTGAAGGACCTGCAGGGGAGAACGGGGAGAAGGAATGGTTGAGGAATGAGAGAGAAGAGACTTGCAAGTGGAAAAAGCACCCATGCAAAGACCCTATCGCAGGAAAGAGCCAGGGGCACTGGAGGAACTGAAAGAACCCAGTGTGGGAGGGGTAAATAGTGGACTAGAAGCAGCCCATGTGTGCGCTGCTCTCAAGGAGAGGACTGAAAGTTGTAGGCACATACCTACTTGCGGATGGCTCTTCTTGGAAAGAACATTGTAAAACTGCGTAGAAGTGATGTGGGACATGCAGAGTGAAGGAGAAGGTGACGGTGATGGGACAATTCATCCGGCAAGACTGAAGGGATCTGAGGGGAGGCATCCACACGTGGGGAAGGGCTGGAGGATAAAGACTTGGGGGCCTAAGTCATCCCACAGACACTGCAGCCAGAGCTGTGAGGGGGCTCTTTCCACCACCATAGACCTCTGGACTGATCATGGAGCTGCTCTGAGTCCGTGCAGAGACATTGCACTGGAGAGCAGGTGCAGCGGGGATCTGGTGGCTGCCAATCCTGGGTTTCTGCAACTGATGCCATCCTGGGCTCTCAGGTGCATGGCCCCAGGTCTGCTCCAGGCTTCGCTTTGAAGCAGCAGCTTTTACGTCACCCTAACTGGGCTGGGGAGGGAGCTGGCAGAGCAGACACTCCCCTGTGCCATACCCTGTAACTGGGAGCTTAGTGTCCTTCCCCTCCAGTGCAGGATCTGAGCAGAGGAGGTACCTCAAGCACCACAGGCACCACCTGGGAAGCCTTGGGTGGCTGTCTCAGCAAGACCTAGATGAGGGGAGAACCCTGGCCAGCTGGCAGCCCTGGCCTACCTCCATGATCCCTGGGCTGCTGCAAACAACCCCCGCCCATGTGACATGGCATCTGCAGTCCTCTCACTGGTGGAACGGCCCTCTGACTGTGTGGGTCTGCCTCCAAGGTCCCCACTTCCAGTTCTGAGGCTCTTGCTGTGCCTGGGCCTGAGGCTCTGCCCCTGTGGCTCCAGAGCTCCTGCTGGGCCCATGACATCACCCACAAAATTCCAGTGCTGTGCCTGAACACCAAGACTCCACCCCTGAGTCTCCACCACTGCCTCTGGGCAGAGGAACTTCCCTGAGGTCCAATACTC